CGGAGCTTTTAATTGGCCCAAAGGAGTAAATTGGTTTGTATATATTTAGTTGGTGTGGATATGTACTGCACAATGTGGCTCTGAAAATGTCAAGATAAGCCTACTAGAAGAGCTGAACGTTGCTTGGGGTTAATCAGAAGCACTCTGAATGCTGGAAGGGGTGTGTTGCGCCCACTGCCACTTGGGTTTGAACGTGATATGAACGCATCCCAAATTTAGTACATATGAGGCTTAATTTTACTTTCCCGAGCGAAAACATTTTTTTAAAATTGCGTTGAGCTCACGTTCAGAGAACCTTTTCAAATGATTTGTCTCGGTCTCATTCGTATAAGTCACAAAAGCCTGGCATTTGCATACATGGCAATTTTCCGCGGATCCGCGGAAATCCGCCGTTTTATTTCTTAAATTGATCATTTTTGTGAATCGTCTAAATCCGTTGAGAAAAATTTACTTGACCGCTGCTTGACTGTGTTCATCTCCTGCAGGGAAGCGACAGTGGCAGTTACCGCTTCAGGAGACAACCAAGCTAAAGTCTTCTGCCTCCAAAGGCCCGATCGCTAAAAAATAAAAGAGAGAGAGCGAGAGAGAGGAATCGGGACAGCACCTCAAGAGAAAAAAATGTCAACTCTTCGCTTGTGCTTGTTGCATCTTCGTACCATCTGATGAACCTCACTGAAATTATGTGTCAATGGAGAAATCCAAAGAGGGAAACATCTCCCTTCAGACTTGATTTGAATGTTGCGACCAGTGTCAACTTAATTGTAAATACATGAAAAATATACCGTACTAAAAGACACTTGTACTCCAGCTGTTTTGTATTGTTATTCTTGTGTAACAGTAATGTTGGGACAAATTGTTGGGATCCATGATTCGGACTCTCAAATGTTTTGGGTCCAAGGGGGATGTTTTTCCAAAGTTGACCCTCACAGCACCAAAGCAATTAAAAAGTGCCTCAAATTCTATCTTTCAAGGAAAAAAAGTTTTAATTTTTGCAAGAACAATGTCTTTTGTTGGGATGGAACGTGGTAATGTCACGGGAATTAAATTGTAGTTTTTCCAAGAATTAATCCACTAGGGAGCAAAGTAATGATAACAAACCATGAACTGATGATCTAAGAAATAAAGAAAGGAATTACAAGGAAAGAAACCAACATTTTAACAAGTGAATTTCAAAAATATCACCTTATTCTTGTTATATATTCTGTAATAGATGCCTTTATTCTAGTTTTTATTCTAAAACAGAACCAAAAAAACCCCCAACAAATAGCTTCATCTGCTGATATACGTCACATTCATATCGGAGCTTTTAATTGGCCCAAAGGAGTAAATTGGTTTGTATATATTTAGTTGGTGTGGATATGTACTGCACAATGTGGCTCTGAAAATGTCAAGATAAGCCTACTAGAAGAGCTGAACGTTGCTTGGGGTTAATCAGAAGCACTCTGAATGCTGGAAGGGGTGTGTTGCGCCCACTGCCATTTAGGTTTGAACATGATATGAACACATCCCAAATTTAGTGCATATGAGGCTTAATTTTAGTTTCCCGAGCGAAAACATTTTCTTTAAATTGCGTTGAGCTCACGTTCAGAGAACCTTTTCAAATGATTTGTCTCGGTCTCATTCGTATAAGTCACAAAAGCCTGGCATTTGAGTTTTTCATCACTCGCCATTGCCGTGTATGCATTTGAACAGGGGTGTGGAGACTTTTTACATCCGTTGGAGGTACGTTTGCTCTTTTCGAAATGATACAATGGGCCGCCCGCCCCATTACCATGTCCCTGCACCCCACTTTGAGAACCACTACCCTCCACGAGTGATTTCTTGTGGCATCTTGTTGACATTTTATCAGATGACAACCAAAAGGAGCCTCTGTAGGGAGACGAGAAGTCTCCTGAAAAGGTGGATAGTTCTTAAGTACACTTTAATGTCATCAAGAAAGGGAGAAAGTGGTCCTTTGTCTGAAAAGTCCTGGCCTCATACTTCAACTCAATTTAAGCATAAGGGGGTTTTAGTTCAAGATTTAAGATTATTATCAACCCCAATTGATCAGACTATACAAGCGAGTTGCACAAATCTTCCCTGGCAGTCTGGGGCCTAACCTAATCACTGGGCGTCAGGATGATCTTCATTTTTTATTTTATTTTTTTTTATTCCTTCTCAACGAGTCGGCCTGCCTGGCACCAAAAACTGCGCTTGAGATCCAGCAATCAGTTAAACACAGAAACATTTAGATCCTATTTTTTTCCTGGGTGGTGATCCATGCTGGTTCTATTTCTTTGTACGGTCTGGTGAATTGTGATTAGAAATGACGTACTCTGCACATAAAAACAGATAAACTCATCTAATGAAAACTAGATCCACTTTTCATTCAGTGTGTGATTAATAGAGGATTCACATGTTATTCTGGAACTAAATTTTCACATTTTTATTCCTGCCAGTTGTCTGACATGATCTTCCTTCCACATTTCTCGACAACTTCAAACCCTTGGAACTTCAAACCGTTCAAGACTTTCAATGCATCTTGGGAAATCATTTTTCACACTCTCCAAATGAACATCTTTTTGCACAGATTCACGTTTTAGCATGACAGCATTCCCAAGAAAAATCAATGCAGACATTTGTCACATTTACCACATTTTTCAACCAGTTCAAATCATTTCAAGGGAAGTTCTTTTTCAAATGTGCAAAATGCTCACCTTTTTAAGAGTTCCACACAGATTCCCATCATCGTCCATATCAACCTCCCCCTTCCGCATTTCCTCAACCAATTTAAAACATTCCAACTGTAAAATGATCTGATGATTTTTCACACTCTCCCAACTGCCCAATTTTTCACGATTCCACATTTTGCCATGACATCGTTTCAAAAATGAATGCAGGCACGATTCAATCAATCAAATATCAACATTTTATTGATATATTTGCCTCCTCCTTCCACATTTCTCAACCAATTTCAAACCCTTTCAATCTGAAACTGGACCTTTTATTCCGCATTTCTTAGAGAATGCCGGCAGACATTTGTCCAATCTCTGAACCGCTTATCTTCACTGGGGTTGCAGGAGTTGCCAGTACCAACCAACCCTTTTGTTCAAGACTCAACCCATACGTTCCTTGTTTCCTTTCCTACCTCCCTTCGGTGCGTGCCCCTTACTCCTTTGAGTTTGTCATCCACAAAGGAGGCTAAACATCGTGTGCACAAGCGCTCCTTCCTTTTACCGTTAGCGGAGCCCTCGGCTCACTGCGTCTGGTTGTGTACTTCACCTCATCCAGACATGAGCGTGAATCGTCACAATGCAGCCTTGGCCATTGTAAAAAACTGAGGAAGGTTCCAGCTTGACCTGGCCAAAGTCTGACCTATTAAATGTGGCCTGCTGTCATGGCCGCAGACGGGCGACAGACTTGTTTGAGGCGTGACCGTTTCACTTTGTAAAGCGCTCCGCGATAATAACATCCCGAGTGAAAAGGTGTGGTACTCCTTTCAAAAACCTTTATTTTGTTATCGTTCGGGAGCCAGTGGTGATCCAGTGAATGTTCACTACGGGCTGTTGTGAAACGAAATATGAATGGCCCCCGTGCATGTCCTCCCTGTGATGTCCCATCTAGCCCGCTCTTCCTGTGTAGTGTCTTCCCAAACGCGTGCAGGCTCGGGGAAGCTTGTACCATTATCTGACAGGCGCTGGGCCGGTGACCAAACTGTCATGGAAAGAGTTTGGAAAACAAAGCAGCCTCCACCGGCCTTCCATCAAACGCTGTGTTTAGATACGAGGCGAGCATGACAGCTGTTGTGAATTTCAGACATACAACACGGTGTCGCCTGTGTGTGTGTGTGTGTGTGTGTGTGTGTGTGTGTGTGTGCGTGTGTGTGTGTGTGTGGTGTGTGTGTGTGTGTGTGTGTGTGTGTGTGTGTGTGTGTGTGTGTGTGTGCGTGTGTCGCTCGTGCAGGAAGATTGTGCATCCAAGGGAGTATAAAAGTATAAAAGTATATGTGAGTGAATGAGTGAGCTAGAGTGAGCTTGCGTGTGCGTGTGAGAGCAAGAGTTCTCGAGCGTATGGTTGTGTGTGAGTGAATAGGTGATAGAATGTGTGTTTGTTTGTGTGGATTTGCGTCTCAAAGCGTGAGGAGTGAGAGAGTGAGTGTGTGTGAGTGAGAGAGGAATTGTGAGTGAGAGTGAAAGGTGCGTTTGATTAAGAGAATGCGTGTGTGAGGACATGGTGAGTGAGTGAGACAGTTTGTGTTTGTGCATGTGTTTGTCCCTGCGCGTGCCTCTGAGTGAGTGAGTGAGCAAGCAAGACTGTGAGTGAAAGAGTGAACGTGTGTGAGTGAGTCAGAATCAGTTTGAGAGTGTGTGTGGTAGAATGAGTGCATTTACTTCAGTGAGTAAATGTGCATGTGTGAGCGAGTTGTGAAAGCGTGAGTGAGTGAGTGAGTGAGTGAGAGTGAATGAGTTAGTGTGAGAAAGCCTGCGTCTGTTTGTGCACACAAGATTTTTTTTCAGATATCCGTGCCTTTTACTTTGACTCATGACATTTGAAAGTACGCCATGGCAGCAGGATGTGTTGATCAGATAAAAGCTTGAGTCAGCATAAGTTAACTTTTTTTTGTTTTTTTTTTTTAATCAATGTGACCACTTTGCAAATGAATAAGAGGGAAACTTTTTTTGCGCCGTATTTTTCCCATTGTCCCAAGTTTTTAAAAAGTGTATACAATTGACTGTGAAAAAAAAAAATCATTCTTTTGTGAGTCTTTTTTTTCCCTAGTACTACTTGAGTACAAATCGCGAATAACTTTGCCACCTCCGTTTGGTTCTCTGTGTTCCAGCAATCCGCTCACCAAATTGAGTATTCTCCCAGTGAGCATCAACCTGGAACTTGATTACATGACTTTAGACAGCGGTGTAGCTCAGAGCGGTTGCAAAATCTGGCTGCTGACCAATCTTAACCATGAATCTCATTATGAAAGGAACAAATGTACACCCTGGCCGGGAGGGGGGGAAGAAGATGCAAGGGACTGAGAGAGCAAGTCAGTGGGTCAGACTGGTGCCTCTCCTCCTTCTCCACCTCTTCATCCACCTCCTCCTTCTCCTCTTCCTCCTCGTCTGCCTTTTTACGGCGTGTGGACAGACGGACGTCTGGGTTGATCTCCCGCAGTGTCTTGTGACGTTTCCCGATCTCGGGATCCACTAAAGGGATTAAAAAGGAAGCGACTATGATCATCTGACCGCAGATGTGACGGGCAGAAGGGATGATAGCAAGCTGAAGTGGTAAGACCAGACGGATCTTCGATGAAAGGTAAACCTGATTTCACTGACCTAGTTTGTTTGCAAAACGCTCACTTTGTAATATTCCATAGGTTGTGGGACTTGCAGGTCTTCCTATAACATAGAACTGAATGGGCGGGTGTGATACAGGATGCAATCTACACATTGACATGTGTCACATGCAAGGGTGGTTTTATTGGCAGGTTCTGCAAACATCTTCCCTGCTTCATAAACTGCAGTTTTAATTCAAGATAAAAAGCATGTGGGATCTTTTTTTTTTTTTAATGCGATCATAAGCACTGACCTACATTTCTAACCTGAATTTGTTTCCTGAAATGGAATTTGTCTTTTGTCATCATTTTGGATAGTTTCTCTTGGCTGCACCACTCCCAGTACATAAAAGTGGATGTTAATTTATTTTTATTTTTTTGTCCATTCAGACTTTGGCCTCGATGTCTCTGCCATGTCAATCTAATCTGCCCAGAGCCTTCACAATCAGCAGTGCGGGCTGAAGTCAATGAAACAAGGGGCCTCTTTGGATTCTGTTTTTCGCTTCGGCAATTAACTTTCCTATTTGAGCGAGGTAACTTGGTTTTCTTGGAGGAAAGCTTACTCGAATTCTAAAAATGCTTCGGAAAGGTGACCCAGTGCAATTGATGTTGTCATCATTTACGGCAGCAGCATTTAAAGCAATAGGACTCCGAGGAACTGTAGCGACTCTACATGACGACCGGTGACGTGCGTTTATGACCGTTTATGACCGGTGAAGCACTGACTGGAGTCGAATCTGAAAATATGAAGTCATAAGAGAAGATTGGCCGACATTTCTCTTTTGAATTTAATTGAAACTGTCATGTTGAGTCTGTTTTAATTGTGTTTCGGCTCCAGCTGGAGTGAAGGGCATTTCCCTCCAGCAGGCGCACCAATTCCGTGTTTCTTAATCAAGCCTTGACGAGTATTTAAGGACCGTCAAGTTTCCAAGTGGCTGCTGGATTAGTGACCTTGCTTTCTCAACCTCGCGCTACTTTCCATAGTCGCAATCGTTAGTCATAGATTTTAGTTGCTAGTTAAAATTTTTTCTTACTGCTCTTGGTCTTTGGCTTCGCGTTATTGGCTTCTTAACATTTGTTTATTCTCGGTGTTCTCTAGTACATTGGCTTTTGCAAGCACTTTTGTTTATGCGTTGTTTTTCCTGGCTCCTATTGAGCCGTCGATTTCTGTCTTTGTCAGTGCAGTTTTCTGTAAATAAATATTTTTAGCGCACTTTGTGCGAGCCTCCATTTCTGGAATCCAAAAACATTATTCGCTTCGGTCCAGAATCTAACCGAAACATACCTTTTGAATCAAGGTCATAATTGAATTTTTGAATTGCAGGATTGGTTTTCAAAGCTGTTAATTATGCTTCAATTAATTCAGCACTGTTCAACAATGTGAGGGCAAGAAAAAAACCAGAAGAATATTTAATATAATGTTCATAGTTTTTTTTCCTGTCTGTTTTTTTTTTAATTAAGGGATTTATGCTTAGCTTTACATTTATTTTATATTTATTTTATATTACCTACACATTTGGTACTATAACTACACCTCCGGTGTTTTTTTTTTTAATCAAGGAGCGTATATATTCTTTCCATTTTTAAAATGTTTTTGTCATGTTAAGTATTGATTCGGAACTGCTCCATATTGTACGTTTGTAGAGTATTGATGGTTTCTGTAACTGATGTGATATTTGTGGTTTTAAGAGATGAAGTCGAGTAACCAAAATGTGCCAAATGCGCAGGCCGCCACGACTACATCTCTGTTCGTACGTGTGAATGACAAGTGAACGTGACAATTGCACTCACACTTGAATTGTGGTGTCCTTGTCTAAAGTGGTGTGATTTGGGCGTCCCGCAGGGTCATCGCACATTGATGGGAGTGCAGCTCCTGCGTTCACATCCCCAACGATGGACTGCGGCGACCCTAGCGCTCTGCTCAACCGGGAACACCTCATCTACGCCATCACGGTTCCGCTGTCGGCCTCGATCATCCTGGCCAACCTGGTCATCATCTTGGGGATCGTGTGCAACCGCCAGCTCCACAACACCCCCAACTACTTCTTCCTGAGCCTGTTAGTGGCGGACCTGTGCACGGGCGTGGCTCTGCCTTTCATACCTCTGATGGGACTGAACCGAGAGCTGAGCTTCGGCTCCTGCCTGGTGGCGCACATTTTCCCAAACTTCCTCTTCCTGGCGTTTCTGCTCAACCTTGTGATGGTCCACTACGAGCGTTATATTTGTATCGCGGAACCCCTGCACTACAGCAATTTGTGGATGCACCGAAGTTTTCCCCTGGCCCTGCTGCTAGTATGGGCGCCGCCGCTTCTGTACGCGTCGTTGCCCGCCTTCGGCTGGAACAACTGGACCGGCCTGGACTGGAACGGCTGCTGCGCGCGTGGCCAAAAGTTGAGCGTCTCGTCAAATTGTTCCACCAATGTCACCGCGTGCTGCTCATACAGACGCGTGTTCCCCAACGCTTTCATCTACCTGGAGGTCTACGGTCTCGTCCTGCCTGCCATTCTCACCATTGCCGCCATGACGGGACGCGTGCTGTGGATCACACGAGGCCAACTGAAGGACATCTGCCGGCTTCATCGCTCGGTGGAGCGCGGCCAGCCCTCGGACCGGGAACAGCGGCTGAACATGCGCTACACTCGCTGCGTGGTGGCCGTGTCTCTGACCTTTCTTGCATGCTGGGTTCCTTACCTCATCTACATGCACGTGTGCATTGCCTTCTTGATCAGCGACACCAAATGGAACTCCAACACACTCATCGTACTCTCGTGCACCGGTATCGGCAGTATGGCTGTGGTGCCGCTGGTGTTGGGCCTCGCCAACAGGCAGTACACAGAACCAGCGTACAAACTGCAACAGAAACTTCGAGACAGGTTGAGGCAGAAGATGCTGACATCAAGAGAGCCTGAAGTAAGGGAAAATACCAATGACAATCTTGAGTAGCTCCTGTTCAGATGCAGCTATAGACATACATTATTCATGGTAATCTTTGGCTTTCATTTGAATACAACTGAAGGGTTCAAAGGCATAAGACGTCTCCGTTTTTTGTGAATTAAATAAAAGGATTTTTTTTTTTTTCATTTCCGATTCCAGGAAGGCTAATACGGAAACTTTGATTTAAAAAAAAAACCTTCCAAAGCAGTTTTAGAGGTCAGTTTATCACAAAACTAAACTATTTCATGAAAATATTTCAAAATGTTTACAAAACACAAGACTTTCCCCCAAATAATGAGTATTATGCTGCATTCACACTGGAAGCAATGGCAACGTGAACTTTCGCCTCCGGTTATCCGCCCAAGTTTGATCACGGGAGTTGTGTAATGTGAGTTTGCTTCATTCTTGCCACACTATCCTCTAACTGAAAAAAAAAGCCTGAACATTACTAGTCAACAAACAATTGACTAAGACAACCAGTGTGTTGTTTGTGCTAAAATTCGGGCTAATGCTATTGCTAGCTTGTTTGGAGCCAACAGCTGAAAACAAGTAGCTTCAAATTTACACTTAGCAGATATGACAACATTCTGACATCTTTTTTGTCAAGAACTTTTTAATTCCTCTCACATTTAAGTGTACACATTGTAGTTAGGCTTGATGGGAAAGATTTCATTCTTGTAAGGGGCCCCAGTTCCGGTACATTTTGAAAATCCCTGCTGTACAGTACTGGAAACTCAGAAGCAAGAACTCAGTTTTTTTTTTTTTTTTTTGTTAACACTCTTCTAACGATAGCAGTAGGAGCCGGAGAAGTTGTTGTATAAAAGTAGCAGACCACCTTGCACAGGCTGCCAATGAATGGCAGGGCAAATGTGAATGGGGCATTGTTACATTTGACGCAGGAAAACCATACTCATGACAATTAGTCGCCAGATAATGGCATTTGAGCGTCATGTCTTGTTATTTTGGCTGCACTTGAAATGATTGTAACCAGTTTCCCTCTACCTCCTGCCTGCAATGTTTACTCCCACTTTCCCCAGCAGTGTTTATCTATGTACTGGTATGCAAGCTGAGGAGGAGAGAGGGATGCACTCCCTAGAGTGGTCCATCTACAGTAAGAAGGAATAACATTGACCTTTTTTCCGTGCAGACGTTTATTAGGAGGCTAGAAATGTCACCGTAAGGACCGCAAATGTTGGCTTTGTATATAAAAAGATGTGTTTGCTTTCAAAGCAAAGCCTATAAGAGGAAATTACATCTTGAAATAAATGTGGATGATATGCTGCACGTCTTATGTGTTTCCTTGACTGAAAATGGGCTTTTAAATATGTAGCATGTAGCACGTGGGTGGAAAGAAGACAGAGTGCAAAGATGGACCGAGGAGAAAGGGCAGACTTTAATGAAATTAGTCGCAAACAAGGTCTGAAATTATGCATGGCGTGAGGAGAGATGGGATACCCTCATGGGATCTGGGTGTTCCTCCAGCATGTTTAGTCCATGTACAAATATGTTTTCCACACTGGAAGAACACATGTCACAAAGACTTATTAGAGCCATATTCCACATTTTGCCAAATCAATCATAATCATAAACAAATACTGCCTTACTGCCAAAATTAATAGAACTGAACACATATTTTTTTTTCTTATTTATGAAGCAAAAACTCCCGATGACATTATATGTTTAAAAAAAATGCTCCCAAAAATGTCCATCCGATTTCTTAGCACGACACTGATGCATGATGATTCCCTGATTCATTCTGGGCTCTTGTAATCATCTGTGTAATGGGAACTTTGGGCCACCACTCTCCCTGCCTCCACGTGCACCTTGATGAGCACCCGTCTCTCGGCTTGGGGACTTGCTGCTTGGATGAGGTAAGGTGTGATGATAGTGGTTGGTTTTGGGGCTTGCGGCTTCTCACGTGCTCCTCGCTGGGGAAGGCGCTGAAGGTCTGCGTGCAAGTAAGGAGGTGGATTGGTTGGTTTCGTTTTAGAAATCTGAGCAAAAGAAAGGTTTGGATTTAGTGGAACACAATGCTGTAATAACATGAATGCAGGAGTTGTTTAAAATACAGTTTTATTCCTTTTTATACCGTACTTTAAAAAAGTACTGTGTATGGTTTCCCCCTCAATTACAATATAGTGTGTGAAAGTCATCTGGAATGTGTCATTATGATTCTCAGTGGCGGGCGCTTCCAGTGGCACATGCAAAATTGTGTACATTAATTCCTGTCATGCACTTAAATCCAGATTCTTTCTCAAACTGTTTTCACCTATTAAAATGTTTTGTATTTTCTGGTCACTGTACCATCCTGCTATATGCTGTGAAATAGGTCATTGTTTCCCAACCTTAATTGAGTTAATGCAGATATTTTTCACAAAAAAAGGTAAAAACATTTAAAAACTCAATATTTTTAACTAGGAAAAGAGCACACTATAATATTGTAATTCATAAAAAGAGAATAAAATAAAATGTAAATAACCATGCATCCATACATCCATTTTCTAATGAGCTTATCCTCACAAGGGTCGCGTTGCATGCTGGAGCCTCATTTTGATAGCAAATGAGTCGGAAAGCGTAATAGAAATAGGTTGCTAAAAATCCAACATATGATTTTGCACCGTATGGTTTGTCACCGTGGACATTCACTGCAGATAGTTTCTCACCTGAGGTACGTATGAGTTTGTTCATTCTGCAAAGAGACAGAGCAAAACACTGTGGTAAGTACTGCTGATCACCTTTCACCAGAGGTGAAAAAAGCACTCACGCTCTGTGCTTAAATACAAGTACAGACACTAGTGTTTAAAAGAAGAAAAAAAAAAGACCGCAGTATAAGTCAAAGTCAGTGGCAGTGTGGCGTCCAGAGAGAGGACCAGAGAGGGCATGATACCCCCCCCCCCCCTCGAAAAAAATGTTTGAATGTTGATTGTCACGTAACCGCAAAGACATGGGAAACGGACCTTGAAAATAATAATCAGACATTAAATCACTATCGCAATACTGGGGGGGGGTCGCAATTAGATTTTTTTTCAAAATCATTCAGCCCTCACTCAAATACAGATACATGGAAAATATACTTATTTAAGTACAGTAACTATACTTCATTACTTGCCACCATCGTCTTTGTATATGTTTAAAACAGCCTGCATGAGTATGTTTCCTCTTGGTTCAACTGTACCTCAGCTCCTCGCCTTCCAGCAGCTTGTGATAGGTGGTGATCTCAATATCCAGGGCCAGCTTGAGGTTCATCAGCTCTTGGTGCTCTCGGATCTGGCCGGCCAAGTCGTGCTTGGCGCGCTTCAGGGCCTCCTCCAGCTGGGCGATGTCCTTGCTGGCCCTCTCCAAGCTTTCGTCGCCTTCCATGATTGCATTATTGATGTCTTTCTTCAGAGACTCTTCCTACAGGCAAAGGAATATGCAAATGACTGTACTCTATGTCACAAATTCACACTTTCGAGGCATAGCGTTCTTTCTCAGACTTTGGAAAGAACCTGCGAAAGGTGCCGACTGCACCTTTACTTTGACCAGAGCCTTTTTTCTGTATCTGTACATCTAGTTAAGCGTGAGTACTTTTGCCACCGCTGTACACCAACCTTTCTTTTGAGAGCATCCAGGTCTCCATTCAGCCTCTGGATTAAGCGCACCATGTCTGAGATCTCTTTCCGTATATCCCTCAATTCTTGCTCTCGCTGGCCCGCTTTCAAAACCATCACATCCATCTAAACGCAAGAGAAATCAATCAGTAGTGTCAATCAATTGGGTAACTTCTGACTTGTAACGTCTTCCCGCTCACATTCTTCTGGTTCCAGTGCTCGGCTTCCTCCCTGGTGCGAGCAGCGATGTTGGCGTACTGACTCTTGACATTCTCGACAATCTCATTCATGTCCAGAAACCGCTTGCTGTTTTCTCGTATGACCACTGTCTCGTTATGGATTTGAGATTCCAGCTCTTTGATCTCCTGCGAGGAGTGCCGCAATGTCAGCGGGGGTAAAAAGCAAACAGGAAATAAACCTCCTTGTTACCTCCTCATAGCCGACCCTGAGGAAATCCAGCTGGCCGATCAGATCTTCCAATTCCAGAGCCAAATTGACAGCTTCCAAGTGACCTTCATCAGCATCCTTTTGCAAAGCACAATTTCATACATGAGACTCATGACTTTTTATCCAAAAGTGTCCTAATGCAGTGATTCCCAACCAGGGTGCTGTGGTCGATCATTAGGTGTGCAGTAGTGAGAGGTAGAACATATGAATGCTCTTCCACTCGGCGCGGCTGAGTTATTTGCGAGTCCTCCCTCAAACATCTCTAGTTGGTCCAAAATGCTGCTGCTGACTTCCTCACTGGAGCTCGTAGGAGGGAGCACATAAATTAAATTCTGGTCTGCCTTAAAATCACTTTAAGATTATTTTATTTGTCTTTAAATCTAGAAATCATCTCCCTCAACTTAACATCTCTGAGCTCATCCAGCTCTATGTACCTGCCCAAAGCCTCAGGTCAGCGGACCAGACACTACTGGACACGCTTCGTTGCCGGTCCCTCCCTTTTGGAATGACCTCCCGTTAAACGTTAGGCAAGCCCCCCTCCCTGTGGACATCGTATGTGAAGATGCTTATTATGTGTTTGTTTACAATAAAAAGATTGAAAGTCTACCAGCCACTGTGTCTGTCCTTCACCGCGTGATACATTATAACTAACGATGACAGGCCATCTTAAGGGCACAGTGTGTAGAATGTAGTGCCATCTTGTGGTGAAATAATAGAATGCAACGACCTAAGCTCAAAGCATGTGCATGTGCATTTGCCTTTACGGCAGCTCCTATACTTTTTGTTCTTTTACTTTCTTCCTTTCATAACTTTTCTGCTGTAAATTGGGAATTTCTCCATTGTGAGACGAATAAAGGTTTTCTTATTCCTATTCTTATTATTTCGAAGCATGTGCACTACAGTGCCTTAGAGAAACCATTTTTCGCAAGCCTACCACCGATTTCTTCAGCAGAGGTGCAAGGAAATGGTCAGCCCAAACGACTTGTAGTATTCCCACAAGTGACGGCGTAAGTGCATAACATGACTACACACGCTGTAGTCATCATATTGAGGAACTACCTTGGCTAAGCTGGTCTCCTTCAGGTTTCCATCGCAGAAAGATGGTGGTGAAACATGGCAGCCTCCTTTAGGGGAGGCGTATCCTATGTAATATAATTAGCGATTACTTCATCGACAATTATATATAGAAATTATATTGATGTGATAGTGCATATTTTTTCCATATTATTGAAATTAATCGAAGGTTTTTGAAATATTGAACAGCGAAAAATCAACACATTTTGACACAGTGTCCCTTTTCGCTAACATTGATATGTTGTGTTGGCAATCACAGAGGTGCTCTCATGGTACACATTGCACTTTATATTCTTTGTTGAGTGTGAAATGATCTTCATTCATTTTGTGCATGCGATACTTTGTTTTTCATTTCTACCACCCCACCCCCCTTCAATGTTGCTGCTGTCGATTGCAAATTTCTCCATTGTGGGACAAATAAAGGTTTTCTTATCTTAAACTTTGGACATTCTCTGTCTTTTACGGACTCTTTACTCCAAGCAACGCAACAACTTATTTCTACGCAGCGACTGCAGTAACATTAGCCAGTGTGGAAAAATGATCCCTGCAAAGCTTCAAGGCAGAGATTTTGTGTGTTCCTTTTTTTGTAATTGACTTTTTCAAATTATTTGATGAAGTTTTGCTATTTATCTAATCACACAGCCACTAAAATGCATACAGTGTCTTCTGGAAGTTATATGCTTGCAATTTCTGTTTTTTTGTGTTCAAATATATTTTACAAATTACAAGCGTGTTATAAAGTTTGGAGAAGCAACAGGAGTAGCTACAGTACCTTTTTGGTGACTATAAATTCATTCTCCAGTTCGGCTTTCTTCAGCAACTCATCCTCATACCTGAGGCCAAAATGACATCAGAATTTTAGTGCCGGTCGTCGACAGAACATGTCAGCGACATTGAGCTGTCACCTCTTCTTGCTGTTCTCCACCTCCTCCTGATTCCGAAAGAGCTCATCCTCCAGTTTCGCATGGTCACTAAGTAATTTGTCAATCTGTTGCTTCAGTTCCTCCTCCAGTTGCTTCACCACGCCCTCAATTTTGCCCTCATAAGCCTCCTGGCCTTGGAGGATCTTCAACTTTGTGTCCAGTTTTTTGTTTTCAGCCTCCTGGTGTTTCACCTGACACATGAAGACAGGTGATGGTTGGTAATAAACAAATAAATGCATGTTTTCATAATGATTTAAGAATCACAGAAACAATACCTCTTTTACATGGAGTAAAATATTTGAAATAATAATAATACGTTTCTAAAATGCCAGTTATCAACCTGTAGATGCTCACTTCCACAAACAAATCTAACACAAAACACAAGATTTTTTTTGTTACATACAGTACAATAGATTTACACTGTGATAAATATATTCATTTTACAGTGGTTTTAAATGACTTTAAGTTCTACTCTTTACCTTGTCAAGATCAGATCTTTACGTTTCTTCAAACTCCAAGGAAGATTACACAATATTCTTAATTATTTTCCAAAAATGTAAAAAAAAAAAAAATAGGTGGAATGAAGTTGTATACTTTTAAATGTAAAACTGTAAAATATTCTAATGTTATATCCATCCCTGTTTTTATTTAAGAAATTAAAAAATAGAAAAATTTAGTTCGACAAGCTATCATGATTATTTTTAATTTTGATTATGTTTTTTTTTCCCATCTTCCATTTTTCTGCACGTGGCCCTCAGTGAAAAAAAGGGTTGGACATCACTGATTTACAGCAAATAAAGTGAAACACAAACGAGTATCGTCGCCCCACACAAATATGTCAATTTATCATAACATAAACTGACCTTTTCAATCAACCTGACGAACTTGTCATTGAGTCCCACCATGTCGTCCTTCTCCCTGAACTTGCCCACCGAGGAAACGTTGTTTCTCGGGTTGCTTCGGTCTGGCGTCGAGCTACCGCTGGGGGTGTACGACTGGCTGCTGTAATTTTTGCCTTTGGACATCGCGAGGCGCCGAGGACTGCGAGATTACGCACAACACGTGAGAACTAAATATCGGTGCAGGATGGGTTGAGCTCACCGGCTCACCTTCATTTAAAGTGGGGAAGGGCCACGTGTTGCCTCCCTCCAGATCTGCCAGCCTCCAATCCAAAAAGGAAAAAGTGGAGGTGGCAAAAGTACTGTACTCATTCTGTACTCAAGTAGAAATACAGATAGTTGTGCTAAAAAAAGACTGGTACTTCTTCGGTAAAGAAAGAAAGAAAGAAAGAAAGAACATAAATTACCGTAAAAAGCGAGATACAATGACAGATAAAAGCATTCATGTATATTTATTAATCTCAGTTAATCAAGACATTTGCAAAATGCAACTGAGTGCTAGGCTTGGATAGCGCCTAGAAAGAAGAGTACATGTAGTGTATATGCTGCCTGTTACTGCTCTACACTGAGAAAAATGATTCCGGTGGGAGATCCACATTTCATGTTGCATGCTGTATAAGAGCAAATATGTTTTTTTGTTTCAAGATTATCCCGTGATGTGATTAAAAAATATACCTTAATTGAACAAATAAAGTGAATCAGAACGCGTATCCCCCCACCCCCCCCCCCACACACACGCACACACCGCCGCAATAATTCGCCGCAATGATTCGCCGCAATCAAACAAATAACAAGCCTATTTTGAAAAAAAATAAAAGGAAGACAGCAAAGATACCAGGACTAAAATTCAGAAATATAAATCCTCAAGTAAAGATATCTAAAAATGATAAAAAGAAGTCCAGTAACGAAGTATTTGTATTTCGTTACTTAACTACAGATCGGGGGGGGGGGACTGAAATAGTGGACCCGCAAAGCTTGAATTTCAGCTTTGATGGGTGTTATCTATTAGCCAATAGGATCACCGGGGCGGATTGGATTGGTGCGTAAAACTACTATAAAACCCCACCTGGATTCGTCGTCTCCATCAAGTTTTGTTGTTGCTGTCACAAAGCAGTCGCGTTCGATTGCTCATCATTTTCTCATGCTTTCCAACACGGCTGCAAGCATGTTCGGTGGGGCGGGCGGAAGGGGATCGAGGGCGTCGTTGGCCAGCTTTGAGGGGCTGCGCAATGTGCTGCGTAACCACTCGGACCGGGACTCGGCTCCGCCTCGTGCAGGCGCCCCTGCCACGACCTCCGTCGTCCCCGCGGATGACGGAGAGACGCTGCGAGGTTTGAATGGCCGGCTGTCCGGCTACCTGGACAAAGTGAAGCAGCTGGAGGAGGAGAACCAGCGGCTGAAGGAAGAGATCGATGAGATTTTGGTGAAAAGGAAAACGGCAGAGGGCCGGGACTGGCAAGAGCTTGAAAAGCCTCTGAATCACCTCAAGAATAAGGTAGACGACACTTTGTAGCATTTAATGCAACTTTTGCAACTTATATTGAGCCAAGGCACATATTTTACATTTGAAAAATCTCTTGGAACACCATCAAATAAAAATGTCACAAAAAGTGCTTTATATCCACAAAAAAATTAGATTGGGTGAGGTGATTTTTTTTTTTTTTTTTTTTTTTTACTAAATGCAAATACTCAACCTGTGTAGTTGAACACCAAACTATTATTCTGTTCCATGATTGGTAACAAGCGGCTAAACATGTTAATTGTACCTTCTACTATAGAGTGGAAAATAATTGTGATTATCTGTGCCATAGATAATAAACAAAGCAAGATGAAATGGACCCCCTCAAAGTTGTGGTTTGGCATTGTTAAATTCCTATTCACTGAAAATCTCACAGATTAGGAAAGGCCAGAGCAATAAAAGTATTGCTGAACACAATTCGGTAGCATCTTGGTGCCAATAAACTATTTTAAAGTGAGTTGAGGCGCTTCACTGAGAAAAAGTAGCGCCTAGCCGCCAACATTGCCAGGTCGTCTGTTACTTTGTGTTATTTGAGAAAGGGCGGGGTTCACTACACATGAATTTTATAGCAAATTGATTACAATTTTTGGACCAGTTAAGGTAAAAATGAAAATTTTCCATGCGGGTTTTGGGAATCACAGATTGAGTTTATTTTGAAGTACCTTTGCTAATATGTCTTTATTTTTTCAGATAAAGGACATCACCATGGACAATGCCAAGATGCTGCTCCAGATTGACAACGCCAAACTGGCCAATGCTGATTTTATAAACAAGTCGGTGTCATGAAGTATATCTCTGTGTTTCCCGATGGATGGAAGGAGCTAAAATGAGTATCGCGTCATTAAAGACAATAGTTTTGTGTCAAACTGAATGCGTACTGACCACGCCGAGTAAGACATGATCGTTATTTCGGTATATCGGCTTTTTTAAAATTTTTATGTGAAATATGTGCCTTGGCTCCGTGAAGGTTGGGAAACACATTGGTATCCAAAATAGAAAATAAGATTAGATGAAGTATGACTGTGTAGATTCTCAGTCATCCAGGTCATGGTAATGGACAAAAAGTTGATTGGAGGCAACGAGACTCTTTTTGGTTGTGTGGAAGACCTTTCACCTTTCATCCAAAAGGCTTCTTCAGTTCAGAATTTGTGAACAATTCAGGACTGTTGAAGCCTTTGAGATTTTCTGGATTTGGCTTTTTCAGTTCAGTTCAGTTTTCTTTTTTAAAAAAATTGTTTGAAATGTGCAGCCCGATGGTCGACTGGTAAGCACGATGGCCTCAAGGTGCAGGGGTGCAGGGTTCGATTTGGGCTCCGGCCTTCATGTGTGGAGTTTGCATGTTCTCCCTGTGCCTGCGCGGGTTTTCTCCGGGTACTCTGGTTTCCTCCCACATTCCAAAAACATGCATGGCAGGCTGATTGAACACTGGAAAATTTTCCTGAGGTGTGAGTGTGAGCACGGATGGTTGTACGCCCGTGTGTGCCCTGTGATTGACTGGCAGCCGGTTCAGGGTGTCCCCCGCCTACTGCCCGAAGACAGCTGGGATAGGCTCCAGCATGCCCCGCGACCCTCGTGAGAATAAGCAGATCCGCAAATGGATGGATGGATGAATTTTGCCTGTAAACATTTTGGGGATAATTGAATGACCATTTAGCTTTTCAACACCTGAATGGATACTGATTTGAAATGTTTGTAAACATTACAAATGACAAAGCCTTTAGATTTATTTTTTTTTATTTAGGGTCTTCAGTTCAAAAATGTTCTCTGTCGAAAAAAGCTGTTTGGATTTTCTTTTTGATTTGACCTCTTCAGGTTTTAATTTTATTTACAGTAAAATGTAGACGTGATAAAGAGTTTTGGGACTAAAGGAGAAAGGTCCAGGAGGAGTTCAGTTGCCTTGATTCAACTTTTGCGGACTTGGTTGAGGTGCCGGTAATAATATTTATTCCATGGCTGTTGTTGTATGTTAGGTTCAATGATGAGACGAAGGCTCGGAAGGCGATTGAAAACGACCTGGATGAGCTGAAGAAGAACATTGAGGACACCAAGCGGAGCAACAAGCAGATGCAGAAGGAGATTGATGTAGTAAAGGACGAACTGACCCTCTTCGAGCAGGACCACAAAAACGCGAGTCTCAACACCAACACCACCAAATTGAGCGCTGAATCCACTTTGTAACTCGAGTCTCTTTTGTTTTGTAGGCGGTAGACGACCTGCGTGAGAAGATCAAGAACTCTGAGGTGAATGTGGAGATTGAAACTCCAAACTCTAGCTTGCCCGAGATTGTCAACAATATCCGCAAGCAGTACAACAAACTTGCCACAAAGAACTTAAAGGAGACCGAAGACTGGCACCAGAGCAAGGTACCTGACATCCATACTCGCAATCGCTTCCGCAATATCTTTTACTTACTTCATTGTGTGCATCCTCTTTAGTTTGAAAACATCAATGTTGAAGAGGCCCGCAACGCTGAAGGGTTGCAGTCGGGCAAGACGGAGCTCAAAGATTTGCTCAAGCAGAAGCAACATCTGGAGATCAAGGTTCAGGGTGCGCACAGCACGGTGAGCTATTCCGAAATTCAATGATCCAGAAAGCCAGCAATTTTCTTTCAGTGCTTCCTCTCATTAGGGTGAGCTGAAGCCTATCTCAGGTGACTTTGGGTCCACTGTGGACTCTTCTCCAACCAGTCACAGGAGATTTACAAATCCACATACCTCAGACGGGTCGTTTATGGAGTAAAAGGGACTGCATGAGTGTTTAAGTATATATTGCTCCAACTCCAATGTTTGTGTCTCTCCATTTGCCACCTGGAACTGCTTTTGTATATTAAAAAAAAAAAGGACAGGGTGCCCCAAAAGTCATCATTCGCTTCCTTTTATTTCCCCTTTTCCGTTTCGGTTATCATTCAGACAGACATGAAGCCGTCAGCATGTGACAGGGTAGACTTTGCAGTTATTTAAGTATACGGCATCGTTCTCTGCTGGTTGTTGAAAGTCTTCAAGCGGGAAATTATGACGCTCACCATCTCTTTGTTGTAGTCAAAACCTAGAAGCTGCAGAATTCTGAATGAGCTGCAGCTGTTTGATTATCTTTCGATCTTGTTTCAGTGATTGATTGAAGCACTGTGGCGGCCATGAAGCCTCTCAGACTGGTGCTGGGCTAACGTTGGGGGCAGAAAAATGTCTTGCCAAGCAATAAATTTTGGACTGGTGCTCCAATGTGGCAAGCCACTAGCAAAGGAATGAGACGCTAAAGCTAAGCTAAAGATATAATACAGTCTGAGCTGTCAAATGATGATGGCCTGAAGTCTGTCTGAATGATACTTCAAACAAAACAGAAAAAAGTTAAGTGTATAGTGACTTTTGGAACATCTCCGGCCTTAACTGACCCATCTGCAGATCTACAATTTGGAGGAAAGCTTGAAGTTCACCAATGTGGAGAACGGGTATCGACTGGGCCTGCTCAACCAGACAATCTTGGACTTGGAACAGCAGCTGAGGAAGGTGAGGGCCCATGTGGAGAGCCAGTTGGAGATGAACAAGGACCTACTGTGTGTCAAGATGAGACTGGAGGCCGAGATCAATAACTACCAGCAGCTGATGTCCGGCAATGTTGACAGGTGGGAGCAGCAGGATGACGTCGGCAACAAAAAACGATGTCACACTCATGGTTTTCTGTGTAACCGCAGACATGACTTCTTTTCAGTTTTGTAAGCCTCCTTCCTGGCCACAAATTAGTATTTTGTGGTCACAGTTTAATGTTTTTCTCCCAGGTCATGTCCAGGGCTCTGTCCTTTTTATGTGATGGGACTGGTATGTTTGACATGCAGTGCATGACTGTTTGTGTCCTCTTCTTTTCTGACAGCTTGGACTTTTCTTTTGAGGATGCTCTGCCCCACAGTAAGTCCTGAATCCAAAACAAATTAAGCATGAGTCACCTGATCTCCTGGTAAAGCGAACCTAACCCTCATCACATTAGTCGGGGGGAGAAAGTGCAAGTCCTGTAGTTCAGTATTTGGTGGGTCTGGTGTCCATTTCATCAGCATGTGAACTATTTCTTTGAATCAAACTTAAGTGCACTTTCGGCATCACCGCATGCAACATGATTTTAACACTTCACGGGAAGCAGGGTGACCGAGAAGCATATTCTGCAGGTGTGAGAGGAAATCCGAGCCGGTTTTTGTTTTCTTCCAAAGAAAAGCAAGATGACGGCAACGTCTCTGAGGAGCAAGAAACGGCAAGAGAAGTTTTGAAGCAAGAAAATGAGCCAGCTCCCATGGAGAGTCTTGAAGTCAAGGCAGAAGGTTCAACCAAGCCAGCCGACGGCCTTGTTGTCAAGAAAAATCTCAAAATTAAGAAGAACTATTCCTGCTCCTCATCTGAGTCTGAAGATGAAAAGGCCAAAAATCAGGGTGAAAAAGAAAAAGCTTGAACCAATGGTTTGTTGCGGTCATATCCATAAACCTGCAAATTCACATTTTTGTCACAGAATGATGAATTATATTGTTTTTTTTAATATCACTTTTACATTTTCAAAATAAAGAATTCAATGTCAAATTTCCTTTTCTTCTGTGTGACATTTGTTGGGCTTGAGGCTCATCAATCTCTAATCCAGTGTTTCCAAATCTTTATTGAGCCAAGGCACATATTTTAAATCCACCAAACAAAAACGACACAAAAATTATACTGTACATATGACTAAAATAATGATCTCGTCTCAATTTCCTCACAAATTTACTTTGGGCCTGTTTAGTTGAATACAACGTTAGTATTCAATAGCAACCGGTGAATTCACAAGTCAACCTTAATTGTAGCATATAATTGTTCTGCCTGACAAAATACCCTCCCCCCCTCCATTACCACATTTCGACGTACGTACAGAGTGTGGGTAGTGTTTTCCACCTCCGGATATTATACACACACAACCCGAGATAAATGTTGTGGTATTTCAGTGTTTTATTTTTTTCCCTCAAATGACAATGACATGAAAGCGCAGAAGGGGGTATTGAAACCATCGCGTAAAATGAAGTGGTGAAGGTCAGGTAAGAGTACCAAGTGGAATAAAAAGATATTGTATCAAAAATGGCATTCATATT